TATCATTACTGAAACACTCAGAAAGGGCTCATTTTGAGGTTGGACCACTTCTGGTATACTTGGTACTGTATAGCCTGTTTTGAATTTTGAATGAAATAGTCCTTTTCAAGATCACAGTGTTTCACATCTATCCAGCAAGCCAGCTTCCTGGCTGACTTTGTCTAGTCCCATGGCCTGGGGTCTGGCCTGCTTTATAGTGGATATCAGAAAATTAAGGCCTGTTGGCTATTCTGGGAAGTTACAAAAAACACCCTGGGAAGAAGGCAATAACAAAACACTCCCATGCTGTTGCCAAGAAAACTGTATGAGCACGTCTGTTCAATGTGCTTGAGGGGAACTTTACATTTACCCAGCAAGTCTAGCCTTTATTTTCAGCAACAGAAGTCTCCCCTAGATAATGACTTCCTTGACTCAAGCTGGAAATGGGTGAGAGAATGCATGACTGCAAATAGCTGAAGCATCCCAGGTAGGCATCCTGTATTTTAGTAACTGATCTAAAGTATTTTTAAACTGGCCTTCAATCTTGTGCACACCACGGTAGTATATAGCCATAGTCATCTAGCATGCTATATAATAAAGCTGATAAGACTCAGTACTTTAACATTGCAGCTGTTAGCCTAGGAAGCCAGACCTGTGAGCTAGAGGGCTCTCACTTGTCTCTGGCCACTTCTGGTCGCCATGTGATCTTTCCAACATAGGAAGCTGCCTGTCTTCTCTGTATAACATCCAAGCATCAGAGTATTTCAGCATGAGGTAGTTTCACATTCAGTCATGCATATACTTTGCCAAAATGGCAACTAACATTAAATAATTTTCATTTACTTATGAAAGGAAGATCTACTTCTCCAGCCTGCTTTGAACTAAGCCACTTCCTCTGCTTTGGATTTAAGCAGTGAAGTAATAAAAACTGAAAATATTAGTGTTGGCCCATTATGTTGTGCAACCATAATATGTGTAACTCCTTTTGCCTATCATTTTATAGGTGTCCCATCATTGCAAGTTCATTCAGTATTCATTGTGGTAGTGTAATATGTTCCTCAGGTATTTATGACATTCCCACAGTTGCTTTCAGAGGTGTTCATTTTGCTGTTCAGTTAAGGGATACTGAAATGAAAGTTCTATGTGCTTCTCTTCCCCTTCTTTTTAAGAGATCATTGACTGCTCTTGAAATTGTTGGAGGGTCCATGTACACCTAAAAGCCTGTTGCCCAAATGCTGCCCCCTTTCTTGCTTCACTTCCAATATATTCCAATCTAATTACAGCAAGCATGTAAATTTTGTGCTGCTCTGGCTTTGCAGCATTGGTGACAGTGCAGTGTTCCTTGAATGCCAAGCATCAGTTTATCCTTTGACAAGTCCGTGTGTGTGTGTGTGTGTGAAGGAGAGAGAGAGAGAGAGAGAGAGGCAGCAAAAAGTATGTTTCCCCTATACAGAGGGAATTTATAGAGTCAGAACAAGATACGTTTTGCTACAGACTCAAACTGTACTCTATGCTCTCAGTAGAAAGGTGTATATAAAGGGTCAGAAGTTACAGGTGAAGTGATATGGACAGTTGAAAACAAGCTGTAACTGCAGCTGATCATGGGTACAAGTTTAATGTTAAAAGCACCTTTACTGCTGAGCACCCTTACCTGAGAATAAACCCCATCGAATAAAGTGGGACTCACTTTTGAGAAATTAGGGAAGTATTTATCAACATCTGGCAGAAAGGTATCTTATTAGATTTAGTCTGTCCACAGTTGCAGGCATGCCCATGTGGATTTTTGAAGCTTCTAATTCAGATATCAAAAAAAGGATTTGAAAGTTCCCTCCGTAACTATGAAGCATGACATTACCATTTGAATAGCAGAAGCATAGAGACCTCCTGACTCTGCAAAATGAAATATATGTGTGTGTACTGGGGGAGGGGGGAATTCTACTGCCTGAAGTGTATTTAATAAATGAAGAAGTAGAATGATGAATGGCTAATCTTACACCTTTTTCTACAGAAAAGCAATACAGGATTTCTTTTAGTTTTGATTTAAAATGGGACCAATGTTGCTGTGCGGAGCAGGGCCAGCCCACCAGCATTCCATGCTTATGGTTCATTCTCCATCTTTACTAGACAGTAACTTGGACTGTTCTCTCCTGCTTTATTCTTTGAGAATGGTGCCCTCCAAAGTCTCTTGTACATACATAATATATTATTATCTATATAAGCATCAGCAGGTAGAGAATGAATTTACAATTAATGCTTAAGTTGAAATTATTAAGTTAAAATAATGTTTGACTGATGGTTGTTTATGTTGTGTCAGTAAGTATCTGAACAGAGAGGTAACCAAAAAAAAACAACAAAAAAAACTGGAGAGAAACAGGACAAGCAAGAAATGATACTGCATGAACCCTGACAAATTGTTGTGGTTGTTTTCATACTGACAGTTCTCCCCCTCTTTTGCAGATTGATACCCTGGCAGGAGAATACCCTGCTGTAACTAATTACCTCTATGTCACTTACAATGGCCAGGTAAGTGCTGTCGTTTACTAGGTTACGGCTATTGTGTATTATGATGTATTTTCTCCCATTAGTATCTACTGACCTTGCAACTCAAATTCACTCACTCTGTAGACAGTTATAGTTTACAGCAGTTGGCACAGGCATAATCCCATTGGAGTACAGGTGGAAATGTTTTTCTATTATTTTTATTGAGGAAGTAAAAATATAGCTGGGGGCATTAAAGTCCTTTTGAACAAGCATAATAGATAAGGAATGAGAATTTACCCATAGCAGCACCGTTTTGTCTTCTGTGAACAACTAATATACAGCCTTTCTCTTTGCTGTGGATGGCCAAAGAGAATCTTAGCCGTATCAGTTTTACTTGCCAGTTTGCAGTGTGGAAGATTTTTTTTTTCTTTGTGAAATTTAATGTCTCGCTACCAAATCAATTTGTGGAGTCCACTATGTTGCAAGTGCAATGGGTGGTACTGTCCCATCTCATTTCATGCTAGTTATTGACAATGAATTGTATAATGAAAAAGCTAATTCCCTAGGTCCTTGTACAAATGGTTCTGATATATATGATTACTTCTAAGAACTTGGTAGAATTGGGGGAATGCAGCAGAATGGTTATAAAGTGAAAGACAGAATCTTAGGGGATGGGCTAACTTCTGCTGCCATGCCATTGAGCCATTAGGCATACACCAAAAATACTAGAGAACCATAAGGCCAAATCAGTCTGGGATTTATGTTTGAAAGAGTTGGGGACCAGCAATTAATTACTTGGGGGAAAGGCAACTGAGCAGTGAAAGCAATAGGAAGAATAGAGGCCATTCTTAGCTGAAGTAGCTGTGAAATGCAAGCACAAAGTACTGGAGAATGAATTACCTACCATCAAAGACAGCAAGGTGAATCGTGGGTAGACATTCAGCCAAGCATGGCAGAGGCAATTAATTTCTTATGCCATATTCTTGTAGGGTGAGCAGCAATTAGCCTGAGTCAAGGCCAGATGAAATGGAAATCAGTTAGTATGGGAGGTCCCATAAGTCTGTGGCAGTGCAGTGAAGCTCAGAAAGAGCTTGACAGACAATGACAGTAATAGATGAAACATTTAGTCTGCAGTCCTATTCACTCTTAATCTAGGAGTAAGTTCAGTTGCTTCAGTGGCTGTGGTTGGACTTAATGTGTGGCCAAGATTGTGGTCATGGTGAAGACTTTAATAATAGTCTGAAACTATGGTTTCTTTTAGGTTACCTTACTTGAACTATGGCTCTGGGTATCACCCAAACAAGGCCTGGGGTTAGACAATGGTTAACCCCCATTTCTGACATTCAGACAAAAAGCTATAAAGAGGAGCTGCTCCTGGCTCATTTTTATCTCCAATGAGTGCGTGGAGAAGATTCCTTCTGACAATATTGGACAGGAATTTGGGATAAAAAAAAAAAACATTACCTGATCAGGGTAGCCTACCACAGTACTATCTCAGAAGCTGTTATATTTACTGTAGGCCCTGTTCACACTACAGACTTATTGATGGGTGTCATGTGAACACCATAACCAAAGAAGCTAATCCAGGAAACTAACCCAATTTTAGCGTCTCCCACCTGTGAGAATTTTTAGGTATGGTCCTCTTCCATAACCCCAAATTCAGCAGCAAAGCGGTTAACTGTATCATAACCCCAGGGCTCTGTTTCATCTTGGACTGTGCCCCTATGTAAGCATACTCTGCAAGTCAATATTAATCATTTACAAGATGAAAACACTCCTTTATTAAGTCATTATTCATCCCAATACCTTTCAGCAAGACCTAAACTGTGTCTTACATGACTGTACCAACTTCTTTAAAAGGGCCCTATATTAAGAAAAAAGTAAAGTAAGGCAAACAAGGTCAAATTAAACCCTGACAGTTTTATTTTTAGACAAAGAACTGTAAGGCAGAAGTGCTTTATTTCCATGAGCCCAGAGGATACTGCAGAAAATAATTCCCAGTGACTTCTCTTACTGTGTTCTATTTTAGGAGCATGATGTAAAATTTGATGACCATGGAATGATGGTGCTGGGCTGTGGACCATATCATATAGGTAAATCTTTCTTCTATTGCTTCTCCCCTTTTTTTCCAACTGAGAAGCTCCTTTAGCTGATACTCTCTTCTGTAATACCTTTTCCTGTAGTACTTGAACTCTATATGCCAAATTGCTATTTCATTGTTCTCAAGCATTTCATCTTGTAGCTTTAGAATCAAAGGATTCTAAAGTTTTCCAGATGGAGAATTTAGATTATTTCTAATAATATAATTTAGAGACCCAGAAGGGACTTACATAGAGGTAACTCTTAAGGATGATGAAGATGTGGTAACAGTAAATGGCCAGGGGGTCTTCTCTATTTCCTCATTTTTTCATAGCAATCCTCTCCCCCTTGCACTATTTGTCTTTATACTTTAATAGACACGATACTTATATGTATTAACATTTACTTCAAATAATGCTAACTAGCATTACCATTTAATTGAGATTTGAAATGACTAAAACTGCTTTTATATTTCATTGATTTGTTTACTGCATACTTGGAAGGACTGCTTCTGCTGAATCTATATCTGATTTCCTTGCACTGAGTGCACAATGAGAATATAGTGTATATATCTATGTATGAAACCCATTTGGAAATTCCACAAAAAATGTTGAGATCAAATGTAAGGCCAGAGGCCATAAATACATTCCACAATATTCACCACATTCCATGGTGAAGGCACGGGCAGAAAATATATTTATTCATTATGTTTTAGCTATGGTTTTAGACAATTTTTTTTCTATTAAGACATATAAATGGCTTGCAGCCAGACCTATCATATGTTACATTAATTTAAGAAGCTGCTATTCAGTGGATCCATTAACTACCCAGCAATTCACAAAGGCACTTCTTTTATCAAGGTAATACATATTGTCAGTGGATACAGGCATGATATTACAGCTGCAAACTTTCTTACTCCGACCTTGACATAGCAGTTGTTTTTTAAGCCTTCTGCCTAATGCTGTTTGTTAAAACCTCCAACTAGCTTTGGCTTTTTTCTTTTTTTGGCAGGAAGTAGTGTAGAGTTTGACTGGTGCGCTGTTTCTTGCATCCGCACATTGCGTCAGCTCTCCAAAAAGACAGTTGTGGTGAACTGCAACCCAGAGACAGTGAGCACTGATTTTGATGAATGTGACAGGCTTTACTTTGAGGAACTATCACTTGAGAGAATCTTGGACATCTACCAACAGGAGGTAATTCGTTTTAAAAATGGTTCCAAATAGCTTCAACCAAAGGAAAATCAAGACTTCATAAAACAAGCTAAATCATTTGTGAAGTCAAAGTCTTATTTCCCATTTTAGCAGGGCATTTCTTAAAGTTACTAGTTTTAGATACTGACATCATATTTTACAAGGCATTGTTAAACCTAGTAACTGCTTGGTAATGAATGCCAAATAAATATATAATTGTGTTTCAAAGATGATATATTGCACAATATGTAAAAGCTAATTTAATTATTTCACAGTTATTTATGGCATAAATTGTCCTGCCCTTGCTGAGCTTAGTTTCAACCTGTGACAGTAAAAGCAATTACACACATGCTTAATTTTATGCTTGAGGACAATGGTGTTGATACGAATGTGATTTTTCAAATGCTAAATATAAACTTAAGGACATCTGACATGTACGTATGTGTGATATAACAACTTCCATGAGATGCTTTGACTTTTTGTGACAGTCTGTCCTTTGCTAGGACTCCTCAAGATTGTTGTATTTTTTAATTGATTGCAAAATGGCACAAACAAACAAACAAACATTGCCATGTTGTTCCTAAAAGGATGACACTCTATACTTGTTTCCTACCTGGGCAATCCCAAGTAGGTTACAATGCAGTTCATCATACCTGCTCAGTTTTGTCCTTGTTTTCAGGGAAACCAGTGGAAGAGTTCTCAGCATGACTATGTAAGAGAAGCAAATAAGACCAGCTGCTTTTCTAAAAAGATAGAGATAGACCATGTACTAGAGGGTCACGATTCTTAGTTTGATTAAGAGATGCTCCTGGGTATATGTGGATGTGGGGAAGGGGGGAAAAAAACTGGTTACGCATACTATTATTAATGGCACTTGCCCAAAAATGAAACAGGATTTTATCATATTGTTTTACGGTCATATCATTCAGCTGCAATGCTTAGGTAAACCAAATATGGAGCTGCTATGAGTACCCAATCCTTTTGGATGGATTTTGGTGGAGGGAGGTGAAGAATACTGCCAGAAGCGGAGAAGAGTTTCTTCTCTTGCTTCTAACATTCTGACAGACGTATTGTTGGGGAAATGAAATGCTGAGACTGGTAGCAAATTTTGCATATAACATTCTATCTTCTGATTGCTCGTAGGCATGTGACGGCTGCATCATCTCTGTAGGAGGGCAGATCCCAAATAACCTAGCTGTACCACTTTACAGAAATGGAGTTAAAATTATGGGTACCAATCCACTGCAGATTGACCGTGCAGAAGATAGATCTATATTCTCAGCTGTTCTTGATGAGTTGCAGGTGGCCCAGGCACCCTGGAAAGCAGTCAGTTCCTTGGTGGGTAGACATATATGTAATCTAGGTTTAGTCACTAGTTGAAGCCAACATTCACAATTTAATTTTTGTGTGCATAATTGGAAGGTTGCATTTCTTCTCTAGCAATACTGTAGTATAAAGAAATAACAAGAAGCCTATTTTTTGCATAGGAAGTAGATAATTCAGCAACTTTTTTTTCTCATGTCCTCCTCCTTGTCAGGGGGTTTGACTTAAAAATGTGGAAAGAAAGAATGATTAATGGAATTCCAAGTAATGAGTAGTTTGAGCCTCATTGAAATAGAAAATGTTGGAGGATTCAAGGTTTTCTGCAGATATATCCAAATGCAGTTATATGAAAATCTTCAGGTTGGGGAAGGTTGAGTTTAGTGTTACCAGTGTTATAAATAAAGTATGTTTTCCAAATCTCTAGGAAGACGCTGTGGAATTTGCAAACTCCGTTGGCTACCCATGCTTGCTGAGACCTTCTTATGTTTTGAGGTAAAGCAGTTTTGTTAGCACAAGCAGAAATTCCTGCCTTGCTTGATTAAACTGAATAGATTGTCATACTAAGAATTCATACTTAGAAACTGAACAGTTTTAAATGCACATCTAATCAATGTAGAGACTGCAAGTATTTGTCCTGTTGGCTGCTCACTTAGTAAGCTGGAAGTAATGCCTTTTAGATTTAACATTGTCATGAAAACTTCAAGGTATATTAGACAAAGTATACTCTTCAGACACAAACTACAAACTATACTTATCTCATACCACCTTCACCAATGCAAGTTTTGGATCATTTACTTCCTGGTTTCCCAATTATATCCAGCTAACTCTAGAGTCTACTTACTGTCCCCGAGGCTGTTCTTCTCTTTTGTATCCTCATTTTCCTCTAACCTTTAATTTAAAGGACACAGACATATTTTTGCAAAACACAATACAAGTTCTAGAAGGGTCAAATTATATTTCTAGTTCCATTTCCAGTGGTGGCCACCCAGATGCTTCTAAGAATCCAATGTGCGGCACATGAAGGCAATAGTGCTCCCATGCTCTTTGACCCCTATACATATTTGGCATGCTAAAGGACATTCATTCCAAATATGGACTTTCCATTTAGCTACCATAGGTGTTAATAGAATTTATCCATGAATTTGTCTATATATGTGTTCATGTGTCTATGTGTGTATGTGTATATATGCATAGGAGGCAGACTGGACAAATTCATATGTATATGTACACCATGATACAATAAACATCTGAGCTAATGAACTTAATTTCCACTTGTTTTCTTCTCTTCTTCTTTCTACCACCTTTGCTTCACTTTTAGTCCGGTCTGCCTAAAACTCATTCAAAGCCATCCTGAGCTGCATTTCTTTTCCTTCACTTTCTTGCTTTCTGCTTCACCTCTCTCTGAGCAAATCAGCCAAGGAAGGTCCTTCAGGATTGCCACTGATACTCTGGCGTACCTGGTGGCATGACTGACCAGGCCTTAAGAGCTCATGCTGAGAAATGCTGAGGCCTTTGATGGCTGGAATCCCAAGATGAAAAACAACACCGTCAAATTGGTTCCTATAAATAGTCCACAAAATCTCTCTTTCCAATGCCAGGAAAGGGTGATTTCTTAACTGGAAAATTGAGTTTTGTAGCTTCAAGGCCCTGGAAGGTGCTGGCAATAAAATGATCATTCTCTGTGGCTAATACTCCTATAGATGGGCTTATTTTGTTTGTCTGTTCAGCAGCTTATTTGATCTCTCAGATATCCATGACTCCGTCTATTGCATAATAAGGAAGTATTGGGACAATATCTATCATTTCCTGACTCATATAAACATTAGCTGTAGCTACTATTATGTGACTGGTATGCAATGAAAGAATTATTGAATGCTCTGGATTCAATATTTGCTTTTGCAATTTATTGAATTAGGCTTTTTATCTGGAAAAGCAGCACATTAAATAATAAATGTTAATTGAGTGACATATCATCAGCTCTTGGGGGTTGTATGTATATATTCCCCCCTGAAAAAGCAGGGATTTATTTACAATATTTTATACAATATAATGCAGCTGGATCCCATCTCAAGTTCAAGGGGGCTGCTTTGAACCAAGTCTGTAGTTGTTCCAAGTTGAACCAGGACTTCTACAAAGCAACCCAAATTAAGGAAGGAACCCTGTGAATGTATTGTCGAAGGCTTTCACAGCCGGCATACGATGGCTGGTGTGGGTCTTCCGGGCTGTTTGGCTGTGGTCTTGAAGTTTGGTTTCCTAACATTTCGCCAGCACCTGAGACTGGCATCTTCAGAGT